TCGTTTGGAATCTGAGTAATGGAGAGATTGTTCAGGCTTTGAAAGGTCATAAGATGCAAGTCACTGGTGTTACTCTTGATAACGAAGACATTGTTTCATCTTCTGTTGATCAGTATGCCCTCTCCTCCTGTTTGTATAGTTATCTTAGTATGGTACTATTTCACGTTTCTTGCTTGAAATCCAGTTAGTGTAGCATGTGGTTTTCTTTTGCTGTTGAGGGTGTCTATGAGTGTTATCTTAGTGAGTTATTGTCGTGAGGTACCTTCCTAGCTTTAGTAAATACAATGGTGAAGAGATCTACTATCAAATATTGGATTTTTCTCTACTGTTGCGTAGTTTAACTTAAGTTCTCGTTTTGTTTTTTTTTTCTGCCCTTGTTCTGAAGAACTCTGAAACGATGGAGAAACGGCCAGCTTGTTGAATCTTGGGAGGCGCACCAGTCGCCTATCCAGGCAGTGTTGAGGTTGCCTTCTGGTGAGCTCGTTTCAGGTTCAAGTGATACCACTCTCAAACTCTGGAAGGGAACAACAAGTCTTCGAACTTTTCAAGGGCATGCAGGTGTGAATTTCTTTGTGCATCTCTCAAGTTTTTCGTTTCAGTATGAGGAGCTGCTGTAAGATGTATTATCTTGTGAAGTGCCAAGCCACTGACCTTTTGTTTTGCAATGTAGATACTGTTAGAGGTCTAGCTGTGATGCCTGATTTAGGATTTCTTTCAGCATCACATGATGGGTAAGTTCTTTAATTTCAACAACATCTTACCTTATTGCATGCCATTTTCTCAGTTAATCCCTCTCATTCATCTGCTCTTTATCGGATTTTTTGTTTTGTTTATATAAACAGCTCAATCAGGCTGTGGGCTTTAAGTGGTGAAGTTCTTTTGGAGATGGTTGGACACACATCAATTGTTTACTCAGTTGATGCTCATGCGTCTGGCCTTATTGTTAGTGGGAGTGAAGATCGCCATGCCAAAATATGGAAAGGTAGTGATGTTTTTTTTTGTGTGTGTGTTGTCCTGTGATTTGAAGTTATGTTTCTCATAGATTGATATGTTGTTCTTACTTGTTGCTTTTGTTTGTACAGATGGAGTATGCGTTCAGAGTTTGGAACACCCAGGCTGCGTCTGGGATGTCAAGTTCTTGGATAACGGAGACATTGTGACTGCATGTTCAGATGGAGTTGCCCGCGTCTGGACAGTACGTGATGGTATGATTGCAGATCAGTTGGAGATTGATGCCTTTGATTCCCAACTTTCCCAATATAAATTGAGCAGGTAGTCTGATCATCAAATCCTGTGTCCATAGAATTTTTTTCTTTCCGTAGCAGTTTCATGATTTTGTGTCTTATATTTTCTTAATCTCAGGAAAAAGGTTGGGGGAATGAAACTTGACGAGTTGCCGGGCCTTGATGCTCTGACGTTACCAGGTGCCACTTAGTATCCAAATTTTGTATTTTAAACTTTTATCATACTGTCTAAAGCTGTATGCTGTTTTGGCTATGGTCATTCTTGTAACATTTACTATTTGATGTATTCTATCAGGTACCAGTGATGGCCAGACAAAAGTCGTAAGGGAGGGAGACAATGGTGTTGCTTATGCATGGAATATGAAGGATCAGAGATGGGACAAAGTAAGTCAACATAATGAGCTTTTATATCTTTTTTTCTTAACCTTTTTCGTGTGTGCACTACATGTTATTTTCTGCTCTCGACTTGAATGCTGCTTTCTTATTTCTTTTTCAGATTGGTGAGGTTGTTGATGGCCCAGATGGTGTGGCTGACCGTCCTCTCCTCGATGGAGTTCAGTATGATTTTGGTTAGATTACAAACCTATTATGGAAACTTCAGAAATCATTTTAAATCTAAGTGAACAAAATTCTTAGCCGTTTTTTTGTCTTCTAGTTTTCGATGTTGACATTGGTGATGGGGAACCTATCCGGAAGCTTCCTTACAATCGATCAGGTACATGGCCTTATCTTAATTCCAAGTGCAACTACGAGCAATGTTTATTTGTACCCTAAATGGTTTCTTGTTTTGCAGACAATCCTTATGATGCAGCTGACAAATGGCTTGTAAAAGAGAATCTTCCCCTCGCATATCGGCAGCAGATTGTTGAATTCATATTACAGAACTCTGGGCAGAAGGACTTCAATTTTAATCCATCTTTTCGAGATCCTTTCACCGGCGGTATAGTTTCTTATGTTTTGAAAATATTTGTCTGAGATTTTTAGGTTTTTCATGTAATTTTTATGTTCTGCTGTCTTTGTGTAACAGCAAATGCTTATGTACCTGGGCAGTCATCTCATACAGCTGGTATGAATACTCCTAAGGAATCTAGTTTCTTGTAATATTCTTCCTTTTGACTCATGCACTTTAACTCTTTTCTGTTGCAGCAACTACATCAAAACCCTTATACAAGCACATTCCAAAAGTACGCTAGTTTTTTTCTTTATTCCTGTTTAGTATTTTTTAGATACTGATCCCCGTTTCTGATGTTGCTTTCTCCAGAGAGGTGTACTAGTATTTGATGTTGCTCAATATGACGGGATCCTGAAAAAGATGACAGAGTTCAACAATACCCTGCGATCTGATCCAGTAAGATTTTAATAACTTCTGGCACATGGGCACATATGCACCAAGGGTTCTGGAATTTATGATTCTGAAACTTTTTTTTCTCAATATTTTGAAGGTACATACTGACAAGTCCCTGACAGAAGTTGAAGTATCCAGAGTAGGCGCAATGGTGAAAATACTCAAGGACGCATCACATTATCATGTTACAAATTTTGCTGACATGGATATTGCTTTGCTTCTGAAAGTGTTACAAGCATGGCCACCTGCGATGATGTTTCCTGGTAGGTCTTCTCTTTTCAATCAATTAGAGTTAAAGAAAACTGTTTAAGTCATATTTTGCTTTAAGTATTAGGCATATAGCTAAATCAGTTGATTCTCTAATATGCCTATACAACAATCTAAACTGAGATGTTTTGGTTTCTTTGATAAGTATTGTTGTCTTGTTGGTTTCTTGCAGTCCGTAAAGAATCTTACCTTTAGGTACACAATGTTTTTCGTGCCAATTGTTGGATATAGCGCTTATGCTTATGTTTTTAAATATGCAGCTACCGATTTAGTTAGGATGCTCGTTTTGCATCCTCATGGAGCAAGTCTACTTATTAAGCATGTGGAAAACAACAATGGTAATTATCTCTCGTGAAGCTAATGGTTTCCCAACATGAATTAAACTATCAGCTGTGTTCTTTACTAACCTGTATCTCTCTGTATATTTAAAATCAATTAGATCTGCTTCTGGATCTTATAAAGAAAGTCACAGAAGATTCGGCTCTTCCTGCAAATCTTCTGACAACTGTTCGTGTACTTGTTAATCTATTCAAGAATCCTTCATTTCATTACTGGCTACAGAGGCATCATAGTCAAGTAAGTACTTTTTTTCTTTAGTTTTTATTTCATAATTAGTACCTGTGATGATGTCCATGAACCAGCTTTTGGTATCATTGTCTGAGGCTCTGAGCTGCGTCGTGGAATAAAAATGAACTTTAAAATATACATTTTATTGTAGTGCCTATAGATTTGTGTTTGTGTGTTTATTATGATGATTTTGAAAGATTGATTTCTCGGGTACTCAACCTTTTATGTGTGATGTCTATCTATGCAGATTCTTAATGCTTTCTCAAACTGTTATTCATCCCCAAATAAGAATCTGCAGTTGGCATATTCAACGTTGCTTCTCAAGTAAAATACTCTTATATTACTCTTGCTATATAATCTCTGATATACACATTGTTGAGTTTTTATCAGACTTCACGATCTTTCTATATGTGTTTGCTTTGTTTTTTCAGCTATGCAGTGCTACTAATAGAAAAAAAGGATCAAGAAGGCCAAGCTCAAGTCCTTTCAGCAGCATTGCAGGTAGGACTAAGTTTGGTCATATTGACACGATCATGCATATGTCACATTCATATTTTACCATTGAACTGAATCTCTTCTGTTGTAGTAAATTTTTGAGATAACCAATGTATTGTATTATCAAATCTTTGTCCTGAAAAACATGAGTCTTTAAACAGATTGCAGAAGAGGAAGCTGCAGATGTTGATTCCAAGTTCCGAAGTTTGGTAGCAATCGGCTCGCTGGTTAGTTCTTAAACCCACTAAAGTTCTTCCTTTTATGAACAATATGGATATATATATGCTCGTTGGTTAACATAATTTTTTTAAATGACAGATGCTTGAAGGCCTGGTGAAGAAGATAGCAATAGATTTTGAGGTAGAGAGCATTGCGAAATCAGCAAAAGCATCTAAGGAAGCTAAGATTGTGGAAGTTGGGGCTGATATCGATCTTGTAATTCGCCAACCTTAGAAGACAACAAACTTGTGAATGCGCCCGAGATTAGGATTGTTTTTCTTTATGATTTGTATTCACTTTTATTTACTTCAACAAAGCTCAAAACTAAGTTTTTAAGTAGAGCATTATACTCTCTAGGCCTGGGCAAAAACATGAAATCTGAGATCCAAACCAAACTCGAACCTAAAACCGTGAACATGAAATAACATGTTTATTTTGTTTATTATATTTACAAATACAAATCTGAACTATTATTAACCTAATTAACCTAATCCAGAATTAAGTATCTAAAATAAATATTAGACGGAGCTACAAAATATGTATATCAATCTAAACAGCACATTTTTAAGTTTATGTCACAAAAATAGCCTTCAAAAATTAAAATGACCAAAATATCATTTTATCTTTTCAAATTTTTAAAATTTTTTATTTTTCAAAAATTGCAATCTTATTCCAAAAATCTTCTAAACCCTAAATTCTAAACCCTAAACTCTAAACCCTAAACCCTAAATCCCATCCATTAACCCTAAACTCTAATGTCTAAATTAATTTATCATTAAAATACATTAAATGTTATTTTGATCATTTTTATTCTTAAATGCTATATTTATGATAAAAACATTTTTAGTGTTATTTTAATCATTTTCTCTTAACCAAATCTGACCTGGAATGTATATAAATTCGAGTGACACTAGGAAACTGAACCACAGTACAAATTTGAATATCAACATTTGAAAACAATAAAAACAAGGGAAAACCTAAAGAGTAGTTGTCATGGTTTCCACTTGGAATAGAATTTTTGATCACCCCACATCAACATTCTACTAAGGGAAACCCTAACACCCATCTTCTTCAAATGCCAATGCCTCGGCTTTATCCTCTTCCCCAAGCTAAACCCAAAATACTGCGGAAACTCCTTCAACTCCACCAACTCCCTCTCCATATCATAAACCATAAACTCAAACTTGGGCCTCAAGTTATCCTCCACACTATACCCAAATATCGCCGGAACCCTCACACAAACCCTCGCAGCCTCCACGTGTCCAAACCCTATACTCTTTAAAAACCTCACTTTCGCTCTCAACTTCTCCACCCTCGTGTTCAGCACGTGCGCGTTCATCTTACTCCCCCTCTTCAGATTCTTCACCCCTAACTCCTTGAGATAAACCAGCGTCGGCCTCAAGCAATACTCCACGTCGGAGAGGAGGAGGCCCGGGCAGTTCACGATCAGTCCTCTTGATTCCGCGGCGGAGGCTCCGAGTTCTCCGGCGAGAAAGTCGAAGACGGGGTTTGTTTCGGAGATGGAGAAAGCCGGGGAGAAGAGCTGCGGGCAGAGGTAGACGAGGCGAGGGAAGTCTTCGTCGGAGATTCCTTTGGATTTTAGGAAGTTCACGGCGGAGAGGACGGCGGGGAGGTTTTCCACCGGAGGAGCGAGTTTTGGATTCTGTGGGATTACTCCGAGGGAAGAGAGGTATCTTAGGTTTTCGCGGTGTGAGGTTTGGAACTTGAGATAGAGTGGTCTTGAGCTTGGAGAAGGAGGAGGAGGAGAGGAGAGTGATGATGATAGAGGTTGAAGATGAAGTGAAGCGGTTACGGTAGCCATAGATTCCGTTTTTGATTTCTTTATCCTCAATCCCGGTTATATTTGGAAATAAACCAGATATTAATTGTTTGAACCACCGGTTTAGATCAATGGGCAAATAGATTCGAACCGGGATTCCGTTGTAGATTTGTGTCCTCAATCCCGGTTCGATTTTATATCAGATATTAATTTTTTTAACCGGTTTAGATTTAATGGGCTGTAAGTAGTTTGGGCTTAATAAAAGGCCCATCATTTATAAAACCCTAGACGATCGTTTTCTTCTTCGCCGGTCTCCAGAGATTCTCTAACTTGTTTTCAGGTCTGTGGAAAATGAAGCCGGTGATAGGGACGGTGGTGTCGAACAAGATGCAGAAGTCGGTGGTGGTAGCGGTGGATAGACTCTTCCACAACAAGCTATACAATCGCTACGTCAAGCGTACTTCCAAGTTCATGGCTCACGACGAGACGAACGCCTGTAACATCGGCGATCGAGTAATTTTATTGATTCTTTACGCATTTTCAATCGAAAGTCATCAACTTTGTGGGAGATTTTAATAGTAAATTTGAGATAACATTTGATCCTAAAAGGAACTTGCTTTGGTTATAATAATGCAGGTGAAGTTGGATCCATCAAGGCCATTGAGCAAGCATAAGAATTGGATTGTTGCTGAAATCATAAAGAAAGCAAGAATCTATTCTCCACAGGCTGCTGCGGCTCTCAATTTCTCAGCGGCTAAAGATCCCTCAGAGTCTTCGGTTCCCCCTGTTTCATCTTCCTAAGGTGTATCAGACTTCTTTTGGTGTTGAGTTTCATTTGCAAGTTTCAGTGTTGTGGAACGCTCATGTGACTTTTGCTGTTTCTGAAAAATTAAGTTATCTGACATTTGGCACAACTACTATGTGGCAATATTAGCTTGTTTGGCTTTCAGATTTTTACGTTTTTGAAATTGTTAGAAACCATTGTGTAGTTGGCTACCTTGTCTTGGTCTTACCACTACAAGGTTTGGCAGGTCCCTTTCTCCTAAAGGTTTTCCAGTTATTGTAGAGCATACAATGGTAGTCTTACAAAGTTTACCTTTTAGGTTGCTTACCATTTGTCTCTCTTCCGCATGCTGCTGCAGTTTTTGCAGAGGAATCGCAAACTCACTCCAGGGCTTGTAACATTGTAGTGCATTTAGGTGATGTTGGTCACGTGTAAGACTGGTGAGTTTGATGCTCTAAATGATACTTCTCGCTCTTAAGTAACCCATCTGCGAGAGAGTCGATGAAACCTGATGATGCAGAACAACCCACCTAGATACACAAACTAAGCGTATCTGACTAAATTTCTATATAACCGGCAAGTTTTCTACCGTATATGCAATGATGATGGGGATTCAAACATCCGCATCCTATTTCACTGATTCGTTTTCACTCTCTACCAACTTCCCATAAAAATATTCTAATATACACCATTAGAAAATAACTATTCTAGCTACCCACCATTTTTCTCACTGCTCCACTTTCTTTTTTTTGTTCGTAGTAATTTCTAGTAATTGAAGATAGTTTCTAGTAATTCATATTACATATAATACTGATTCATGAAGGGTTATTGATTTTTTAACCACATTTTGATTTTGAGAAAAAAAAAACAAATTATCAAATTTATGATGGATTAAAATAGAACGAAGATGAGAGTGAGTAAGACAATGTAGAATAAAGTCAATATTTATGTGGAGTAAGTAAATCGGGTTTAGTGTGAAAGACTGAAGGTAGTAGAGCCGGTAAAGCTCGATTCACGATCCGGTTATTGAAGCTTTAACCGGTGGTGTTTACGACCCAAGAATTAAACTACTCCATAGTTTGGTCAAAGTTAAGCAAATTTTATGATGTTTTTAAGCCCCTCGTTGTCATTGGATAAGCAGCATAATGTGCCAAACTTCGCCATGTCAGCATTCATCGAACATTGATTGGTCTCTTATGATGTTATGTAGGTCCCATCATATCAGGATGCAGTGGCACAACTCCTCCTCGTCTCTCTCTGTCCATCCAGAAGATAAAATTCAAATCTCTGTTGGAAAAAAAAATTCGATCAACGTACAGGACTAGTCCAGAAACAAACACTAACTTAACTTCTCCCCTAGCAATGGAAGGAACTAGTTTTCTCCGAGGGCAACCTCTAACAACAGTACCCTCTCTTGCCAGACACAGGTTCCTTCTCCCAGGATGGAAGAACAATCGGATTGTCAGGTTTTCAAGTTTAAAGAATCACTCGGATTCTGTGAAGTCCAAGTCTTTTTTCGATCTTAGCCTCAGAGCTTCAGGTAGTGTTCAACATTTTTAACCCAATGATTTCTGTAAACATTAGTTACTGACCAATGTCCTCTGCATTTCATTTTTGTAAGTTGCATTTGAACAGTTTTGTTAATTGGTTTCTTTCGTTATCATTGTTTAGACAAAGGTCCCATCAAAGCAAACTCTGCTGTAACAGAGACGAACCCTGCAAGCTCAGAATCCAAGGAACAAGACCTTGTCTTTGTAGCTGGTGCTACTGGTAAAGTTGGTTCTAGAACTGTCAGGTTAGTTTCTTCTTGTTTTATCTTTTAAGTTTCAGGAATAATTTTAGCAAATGCTGGTTGGTTATCACTGTCCTCTTTCATTCAGAGAGCTACTGAAGCTCGGATTCCGAGTTAAAGCTGGTGTTCGAAGCGCTCAGAGAGCTGCAAGTCTTGTGCAGGTATGACTTTACATTTTAACACTCTATAAGTCATCATTTGGTTGATGCTAATTCGCATTTTAAAACTCTTGCAGAGTGTTAAGGATATGAAAACAGATGAAGGAACTCAACGTAAGAGTAAAATGTTCTGATTAATTGTTTGCTACAATGTTTTTTTTTTTTTTGTTGGTAGAAGAAAAGGTAACAGGCAGTGTCTGTGTCTTTAGCCCAGCTGTAGAAAAGCTTGAGATTGTGGAATGTGACTTGGAGAAGAAAGATTCAATACAGCCTGCTTTGGGGAATGCATCTGTGGTTATATGCTGTATAGGTGCTAGCGAGAAAGAAGTATCAGATATCACCGGCCCTTACAGGATTGATTACTTAGCCACCAAAAACCTTGTTGATGCTGGTAAAGCCAAACAAAAAACACAATACACTCTCAAATAAGTTTGTTCATTGTCCTTTATTTCTTGCTTCATCATCGCCTCTTTGTGGTGTCATGAGCAGCAACATCGGCAAAAGTTAATAACTTCATCTTGGTGACATCCTTGGGGACAAATAAATTTGGATTTCCCGCTGCCATTCTCAAGTAAGTCTGTAATGTTTCTCTTTTGTCAGATAGAACTTAATGGCATGTTTTTGTAATATGACTTCTTGTTTGTGAAGTCTATTCTGGGGAGTTCTTTGCTGGAAAAGAAAAGCTGAAGAAGCGTTGATTGCAAGTGGTCTTAACTACGCAGTGAGTGATGATTACACGAAGAGTTTCACGTACTTTTTGGATTGTATTACACCTTAGAGTTTGCTTTTTGCATCTTATTTCATCAGATAGTTAGGCCTGGAGGAATGGAGAGACCAACTGATGCATACAAGGAAACTCATAACCTCACTCTTGCTCTAGATGATACATTGTTTGGTGGTCAGGTCTCAAATCTCCAGGTATTGTTTTTTTGTTCCCTTGTGCTATGAAACAGTGATGACCACATTGTGAAGAAGCTTTGATCTGTTATTCTCTTTTCACTTCCTTGTTACTAATCTCCAGGTTGCAGAATTGCTAGCTTGTATGGCTAAGAACCCTCAACTTTCTTGCTCTAAGATTGTGGAAGTAGTTGCTGAAACAACTGCACCATTAACTCCAATTGAAAAGCTTCTTGAAAAGATTCCTTCAAAACGTCCTTATATGCCTCCACCAAAGGTTTCATCTCCTCTCATTTACTAATCTTAATCATCTCTCTCCTGTGATAAGATGGTTAACTTTATATCTATGCATTTTGATTGTGGACAGGAAACAGTTGCAGCCAAAGAGGTAACACCAATAACACCAGTTCCTACTGAGCTTGTCACGCAAGAATCAGTTGCAGCCAAAGAGGTAACACCAGTTCCTACTGAGCCTGCCACTCAAGAACCAACAACTCCCAAGGAGGATGAAGCACCTGCCGAAGTAAAAGAAGTGAAACCTAGGCCGTTGTCTCCTTATGCCGCGTAAGACAGACTTTTACCTCAAAGGCAATAAAGTCAAACATGTTACTAAAATGACTTGTTTTCGGTCCCCCCCTGTTCTTTTTTTTGTCAATATATTAGCTATGAAGACTTGAAACCTCCAACATCTCCTATTCCGGCCTCAGCACTTGGTGCCACCAAAGCTAAGGAGGTGGAAACAACTCAGGTCCCGGAGGTGGATGCAACTCAGGTCCCGGAGGTGGATGCAACTCAGGTTCCGGTGGTGGAAGCAACTCAGGCTCCTGTTGAGGACAATGTAGTTCCAGAGCCAGAAGATCCTGTTGAGGCCAATGTCCCAGAAGCAGTAGAAGTAGAAATGAAACAAGTTGAGGAAAAGAAAGAGAGGCCTCTTTCTCCTTATGCTAGGTAAAAAAATCTTATCATCTTTGCGGCTTTACCATATTCAGGAGTTAATAAATTGATTTTGTTTATATGCGTTATGAGTTTCTATTGGTATCATCACTCTTGGACGATTAAATATGGGAGCGTTTGATAACATTTTTTGCTTGGCTGTATTATGGTACAGCTATGAAAATCTAAAACCACCTTCATCGCCCACTCCTAAAGCTTCTGGTATCCGCAAGAGCGACTCTGTCGCGCCTGTTCCAACCGATTCTGATACTGGTGAAAGCTCAACAGTTGCAACAATTGTCACTGAGGCAGAAGCACCAGCCATACCAAAACTAAGACCACTTTCTCCTTATGCAGCGTAACAACTTTTCCTCTCGCTCTATATATAACTCGGTTGTAGTTTGTTTTCTCGTTAAAGAGTCTTCACTGTGTTTTTGCAGTTACGCAGACCTGAAACCACCAACCTCACCAACTCCTGCATCAACCGGTCCCAAGAAAACAGCACCTGCAGAAGAAAACTCAGAGCTGCCTGGAGGCAATAACGTGGTGGAAACAGTTGATGGTAGTGTGTAAGTATCTAGAAACCAGACTGTAAAAGCGTGTCAACTATAAAGAATCGAAATATACAATCTCACGTTTTTTGCTTGTTTGTGCAGGAACACGACTGAATCTGCTTCTGTCCCAGAAGCAGAAGTTGTTAACAATGTGACAGACACTTCCCTTACCCCAGAAGAAATTGCAGCTGATCAGCCAAAGCCAAGACCATTGTCACCTTACACAATGTGAGATATAGAAGTGTGTTCATTGTTACTAACTTCTTATAATGTTGGACTGAAAAACTCAAATGTTTGCAGGTATGAGGACATGAAGCCTCCAACATCACCGCTTCCATCTCCGGTCATCAACCATTAGTTATGTGTGAAATGATTTGCCCTTACACCCTGGAGCTTTTAGCTTCATATTTTAAGAAAAAAAAAGAGAGGGAGATGGGGCAATTCAGTTTTGCAGGTATGAGAGCTTATATATGTAAAGAAATACAAGATTCTTCTTTGCCTTCTGAGTTCATTTTATCTTCTGTTCAAATACTCTTGTCATATTTGATGACCCATTTGTGTCCCTCTCACATATATAACCCAAATTTGTTATCATTGGCTTTCATATTGGACTCTCATTCAAACAGTGATACTGATGGAGAGCGGAAGCTATAAACCTAACTTGTAGATGAAGTAACGATAGAAAAGGTGTGAATACTTTTCGCAGTGTTCGTTAGAACTCTTTAGGGTTGCGAATACTCTTCGCAGTGTTCGTCAGAACTCTTTATAAAACTGAAATTTATATTAACTGAATTGTAACTTAACAATCGATGAAGTCTCCTTATATAGGAGCTAAGAAAGACATAATCCTAAAGGGTTTTGAAAACTCTCCCTTATCATAGTTTAAAACGTAAAAGACAATAAAAGGAAAAAAACCAACTAAAGATAAAAAGGAAAATCCTATGTAGGAGAAGAGTTAGTTGTGATCACAAATGCTGGTGCATCAGGTCCCTCGGGGTTGGCAGGATTCGACCACGAATCTAAGACGTGAATCTAAGACGTCATTCTCGCCATGATAGGGAAACAAATGCTTAACATTGAAAACGTCAGATGTGCGCAAATGAGGAGGTAGCCGGACTTTATAAGCATTGGGATTAATACGCTTAAGAATCTCTACTGATCCAATCTTCTTAGATTTCAATTTGTTATAAGTACGGATTGGAAAACGATCCTTGGTGAGGACGACCCAAACAAGATCTCCCGGCTGAAAAATCAACTCACGACGCTTCTTATCGGCATCAGCCTTATAACGTGCCATTGATTCCTGCAAATTATCTAGAGCAAGACGATGAACATGGATGATATCGGAAACAAAATCAACTGCTTCTCCATGAATCCGAGTCTGATCTGGTAGCGAAGATAAATCGAGAGGAGCCCGAGGAGTGATGCCGTAGACGACCTTAAAAGGACAGAAACCAAGAGTACGGTTAAAATCATGATTATGAGCAAACTCTGCCTGGCTCAGTTTTTATCCCACACCCTAATATTGTCTCCAACCAAACAACGAAGTAGATTCCCAAGAGAGCGATTAGCGACTTCTGTTTGTCCATCGGTTTGGGGATGATAAGCAGAGCTCATATCAAGACTTGTGCCAAATAATTTCCAAAGTGATCGCCAAAAATGTCCCAAAAACCGTGTATCACGATCTAAGACAATGGAGAGTGGTAACCCATGAAGTTTGTATACCTCCCGGAAAAGAAGAATGGCAATATTGACTGCATCCGAAGTCTGTTTACATGGAACGAAGCGAACCATCTTGGAGAATCGATCAACTACCACAAAAATAGAATCGTGACCTCATTGCGTACGAGGAAGACCAACAAAATCCATGCTAATATCAGTCCATGGCTGAGTCGGAAGAGGCAAAGGAAGATATAAACTAGCATTTGAAGCTTTGCCTTTTGACACCTGACACACATGACAACGCTCAACAAAACGTTCTATATCTCGACGCATGGATGGCCAAAAGTAAGAGGAAGTAGCGAGCTGTAGAGTGCGGTCCCGCCCCACATGTCCCTCATTATGGAGTTCTTGAATGATCTTTATGCGAAGGCTCCACTCCAAAATGCAAAGACGCGAACCGTAAAATAAGAAACCATCATGAAGTGTGTAATCCTTTGACACTCATGTTAATGCTTCGAGAAAGACTCGGCCGAAGAAATGATCCGTCGGATACAAATCAGCAAGCACTGCAAATCCTGTGACCGACATGTGCATCAATGTGAGGATGCTATGGCCACGGCTTAACGTATCCGCCACTTTGTTTGTCTTCCCGGATTGATGGCGGATTGAGAAAGTGAACTGTTGTAAATATGCAATCCAAGAGGCGTGACGCGAGGAAACTTTTGCTTGGCTATCAAGATGACGCAAAGCATCATGGTCCGTGAAAAGAACAAACTCGCGATGCACCAAGTAATGTCGCCAATGCTTAATAGCCTGGATAATGGCATAGAATTATGTGTCATAGGTGTTGTAACGGGAACGCGCACCAGCCAACTTCTCGCTATAAAAAGCAATCGGCCGACCTCGTTGACTAAGAACTGCACCAATGCCAAGTTTTGATGCATCACAGTGAAGTTCGAATGTTTCTGAAAAATCTGGTAAGACGAGAATAGGGGCAGTTGTGAGCTTTGTTTTGATGAGCTCAAATGCCTCGGTTGCCTCTGGTGTCCACGCAAGACGACCCTCTTTCATACAACTTGTAATCGGCGCCATAATAGTACTAAAATGGCTAACAAATCGACGATAGAACGACGCCAAACCATGAAAACTTCGCACCTCAGAGATGGTTGTTGGAACCGGCCAAGACCGAACTGCTTTGACCTTAGATTGATCCATTGCTAACCCCTGGCCAAAAACCACATAACCCAAGAATAAAACCTCGGGAACGTCAAATTCACACTTATGTTTGGCGGCAAAAAGTTGGTCCCGTCGGAGGACATTTAGGACACCACGCAGATGAGATAAGTGCTCATCAAGGGAGGAGCTAAAGATTAGAATGTCGTCAAAGTATACTACGACAAATTTCCCAATGAATGCCTGGAGGGCTTGATTCATGATACACATAAAAGTGCTCGGAGCATTGAAAAATCCAAAAGGCATAACAAGCCATTCAAATAAGCCATCACGGGTTTTAAATGATGTCTTCCATTCATCCCTTGGTCTAATTCGTATCTGATGGTAACCCCTTTTCAAATCTATCTTTGAAAAGATGGACGCAGCACCGATCTGATCTAGAAGATCGTCGAGACGCGGTATCGGGAAGCGGTAACGAACGGTGATCTTGTTGATAGCTCTACTACCAACGCACATACGCCATGTGCTGTCCTTCTTTGGAATGAGTAGCGCCGGAACCGCACAAGGCGATAAGGTTTCACGAATATGACCTTTACGTAACAAGTCTTCTACTTGCTAGCGAAGTCCCTCGTGTTCATCAGGACTCATCCGGTAGTGAGGGCGGTTAGGAAGTGTTGCGCCTGGCACGAGGTCTATATGATGATGAATGTCACGAAGGAGAGGAAGGGACGTTGGGAGGTCCACCGAAAATATGTCCTGAAATTCGTCGAGAACGGTGACAATATCCTTGTGAACCGTCGAGGTTAAAATCGGGTTGGTGTGTGCCGGCATGAGAACAAATGCTCGCCCTTCCTTGAGAAACTCTGTTTTAAAAGACTCATAGGAACAGATTAGTGATTGGCGAACTGTGTTTGGAGCTGGAGAGGATGAAATGGTGCTTGAGATTGGGGGACTTTTAGGTGAAGTATCACTCGAAGGAAGGAGCACAATTTTCTGCGAATCCCACGTGAACTGATAAGTATTATCAGCGCCAAAATGAATGATCTTTCGATCGTATTCCCGTGGGTGTCCCAATAACAAGTGATTAATGTCCATTGGAGCGATATCGCAGAATATACGATCCTTTTAATGAGGACCAATCAAAAACGCTACGCGAGCTCGTTGGGTGATACGTATATTAGCGCTGTCGTTGAGCCAGCCAAGCGTGTATGGAGCTGGATGGTTTTCCCGGGTAAGTCCGAGCTTATCCACTGCCTCCTCAGAAATTACATTCGGCGAACTTCCAGAATCGATGACAAAACTGCAGACCCGGTCATTAATGGTACATGTGGAGCGAAAAATATTCGTCTGAAGCCAGTTATCGTCTTGTCGTTTAGGAGTGAGACAAGAACGTCGTAGTACCAGAAGATGACCCTTATCACCACCGGTCTCTATTACGTCGTGCTCATCATCAGCGCAATTATCCTCTTCTTGTGAATCATATATGTCGTCAGTGATGGAATCATCAAGCAACAGCCCACGGCGAGTTGCATGAGGACACTCGTACTTTCTGTGGCATGCTTCCCCACAACCGAAACATCGCATGCTTGTAGGACGCGATGAACGACGCAGGTTGGGTTCCTCCTGAGGTGCTGGTCGTGAAGAAGAAGCTTTGCCCGTATCTTTGCTAAAGCTGGTGGTGGGAGTGGTTCCAACTGGATCTTGAGATTTGTTACGAAAGGATGAATTCCAGTTAGAGGTACGAGATTGTTGTTCAAAAGATGTAGCACGACGGTGAGCTTCTCCTATCGCAGCTGGGTCGAACTGAGCCATTGATGATTGAAGCTGCGGACGTAGTCCACAAATGAAACGAGAGACAAGTTGAACTTGACTGTCGTTGATCTCGTTCCGAGTTAATAACAAGGAAAATTCTTCGGCGTACTCATCAACATTGCGATTTCCTTGTCGAAGATTTTGCAATTTCGTGTACATCATACGCTCATAGTTGTGTGGCATGAAGGTTTGCCGTATATGTTTAGTAAGTTTCTCCCATGATTGAAATGGAGCTTTGCCGGTACGAGAACGTGTTGTCTTGAGTTGTTTCCACCATGTCGTGGCATGTCCTCGGAGCGTTCCGGAGGCACTTGCTTAAACTCGAGGATTTCTTCGACTGAGATTAGCCAATCAACGAGATCGTCGCCTCGTAGACCTCCATGGAATTCTGGAATATCTACTTTGAAGCTATTTTCCCAATGGTGATTGTAGTTATCACGTCGTTGAATGTCTTGACGGTAGACCTGACGATGAAGCTCTTCCTCGTCATCGGAATGAGTTGGTTGTGCTCTCTCGTCATCTCTATAGTTAGGACGTCGTTGTTGCTGATGTTGCTGGGCGGGTAATTGCTGCTGGTGTGGACGTGCTGGTGGCGCTGGAACATTGACGATAGGCGGAATTGGAGGGTTTGCCCTTGCTGTTAATGCCGTTGGGAGGGCATCGATGCGTGCTGCTAGGGTGCCAACTGTATCACCGAGCTGCTGGATGGAGGTTTGAGTTTGTTGGATAGCGGCGTGTGTTTGTTGAATGGAAGCTTGATTTGCCGTCTGAGCTTCAATAATTAGTTGTCGAAGATCATTGAGTTCCGTTGTGGTTTCATCCGGAAGAGGATCCCGGTTTTCACCAGTAAAAGTACTCGTTTTTTTCACCATTGAAAACACATAATGCTTCCCGGAAACGTTTTGATTCTGATACCAACTGATGGAGAGCGGAAGCTATAAACCTAACTTGTAGATGAAGTAACGATATAAAAGGTATGAATACTCTTCGTAGTGTTCGTTAGAACTCTTTAGGATTGCGAATACTTTTCGCAGTGTTCGTCAGAATTCTTTATAAAACTGAAATCTATATTAGTTAAATTGTAACTTAACAATCGATAAGGTCTCCTTATATAGGAGCTAAGAAAGACATAATCTTAAAGGATTTTGAAAACTCTCCCTTATCCTAGTTTAAAATGTAAAAGACAATAAAAGGAAAAAAGCCAAATAAAAATAAAAAGGAAAATCCTATGTAGGAAAGGAGTTAGTTGTGATCAGAGATGCCGCTGCATTAGTATGTGAAAAATAATTGTTTGATACACCAAACTATAGTCCATCACATGGTGATAAATTTAACAAATACAAATATATCACTTTTTTATAACACATCATTTATTACATGAACTATATTGTTAACATGGCAGACATTTAGCCACTAACACATGGTATGTATTTATCACCATGACCATAAATTTTTTGTTGCCGAAAAATGGTTTGTATGTCGAAGTTCGACGACCTAATATTAAGGATTGACTATGTAAGTTGGATCTGTTAAGCGGTTTTTATACTAAAGCATAGAAGCTAGATTTTAAAAAAATAAAAATTAGGAAGCATACAATCAAATATATGTAGATAATATATAAAATGTAATAAAAGTTTATATAATTTATAATTAAAATTTATATGATTCTAACTAAAGTAAACCATTTATTCATTTCTAATAGTTTTTAATTATTTCATAGTATATTTGTGAGAATGCATATAAATTGAAGTTATAAAATATTATTATCCAATTAATTTTTTTTGACAAAATATATTTAAATATACATGCTATATCTCTAAGAAAAAACACAATGCATATAAAATTTTATAATATCAATTTTAGTAACATTATTAAATCTTAGAATTTATATAAAAAGAGAAAAACATGAGTTTATATTTTTTATTTAATTATGACATGTGACATTGTGTTTTCTAAAACGGAAATGTGATGTTAAATTGGAATCGTAAAATTGGTTACGCGATTTTAAATAGGTTATTTTAGAAATGTTTTGGTAATGAGGTTTTGTAAATTTTCACAGCGTTCTGTTTCCGGTGTTGAAGTGGAAAGCAAAAATCCAATAAATTTTCCATGCAACTTAGAGATGGATAATTTTAACGCTCCAGCCAAATTAAGAAATATGATTATAGTAAATACATGTATGTCATGTTAACCATATACTTCATGTAGTCAGTACAATTTATTTAATAGTATTGCGTAGATGTGTAGTTCCCGCTCATATTGAATATATCACTACAACTCTAGTATATAAAGCTTAGGTAGTTCTTATACACCATAAAGATAACAGTGACGCAACAGACCACCTGATCAAATGTGAACACCACTAGGGGAAAATGCGGAACTTTTTTTCTAATCGGTGCAGAAATACTAGAATAGGTGTATGCTCACACATGAAAATGAGTGAATATATAAAATTTCCAGAAATATATGATTTTTACAAAATATTATGGGCGCATTGCTGTTATTTTCTCCTCATTTGTGGCAGCTGGGAAAAAAATGGAACTTTGTGTCGTCAATGGAAGTTTTCCGTTTCATTAGTTCATGTACGAACTTGTATTCGGATCTCAAGACTCAATGGTATTACAAGGTTTTATTTCCTGGATTTATGACTTTTCTGCAATTGTTGCAGAGTGTCTAACCCTCTTCGCTGCACAAGTTGTGAGCATATCAACGAGTATCTCTAAGCTTGTGTTACAAGTTAGATTGTCAAGAAGTTGATCATTTGATGTTTACCAGATCTTATTTGCTATTTGATCCTTTAACTTTTCCTTTGATGCTTTATTTGCTCACATTGCTTGTTGTGCTTACGCTATGGCAAACTCTTTGGCTTGTGATGCCTTTCTATCTTGTAACACTTCTTCTAATGGAATTTTAAACGTTTAAATTCATGAAATAAAGTTTGACCAGAAAGTTAAAGAAAAAATATTATTGGCGAATGAAAACCATGTATCCCTTACTAGTAGTGTGTGAACATATAAATTTTTTAGAAATATATGATTTTTAAAAAATATTATGGGCGCATGAGGACCATGAATCCCTTACTAGCTTCGCCGCTGAACATCAATATCCAGTGAAACAAAATCATCAATTGTTGCGGTCAAATTTAAACAAATGCAAAAAACACAAAGTTAGGAGTATGAACAAAAAGTTTAGCAAACATAAACTTCCGTAATAAAGAAAGGCAATAAGCGACCGACAAATATAAAGTTATTGTAGAAACGAAATCTAGTGTGGTTTGTTGACTTCGTTTCTATAATAACTTTGGCAGCTTTGGAAGTTAATGCATTTGATAACTCCAACGACAATACTATATAACTAAACAAAAAAAATTAAGAAAAAAAAACAGTTAAAACGTCGTCGTAGAAAGCTCCCAAAACCTTCACCGTCTTGCCGTCTCTGTTTCGTCGATTTTAATTCCATTAAATGCCAAACCCCACCTTCCATTAATGCTCCCTCCTCCCACTTCAATTTCTCTTCCCCTCATCCCCACCGTCCAAATTCCACCTTACATATCTACCCTACACGTGTCCCTCCTCCTCCATCTCTCCGGCGATAATAACGCCTCCGGATCTCCGCATCTCAACCGACTCGACGAGTGCGGTGCCGTTCTGAAGAACCTCGGACTCGTCATCGATTTCGTCCGCCGCGACGACGAGCTTCCCGTCGCCGGAATCCGCTCCGATATCGGGAAAAAAACTCCCGATCGCCGCCGCGAAAACGGCGATTTCGCGCTTCTGTGGTAACGTAACGAGAACACTCTCGATTTCGATATCAGGTTTCCGAACGGAGACTGACGCTGCTGCTTGCTCCACGTGGATCTTCGGTATCTCCACGGAGAAACCGTCGCTGGCTCCATCGTCACTCTCTCCGACGCCGATTCCTCCCTATCGTAATCGAACGAGTAAGATCTCTTCAGCTCCCGGAACCGAGAAATCGCCGGTGATTGCTCTTCCACCGCCACCGTGATCTCATGATCGTCCCTCACCGTCGCGATCATCATCGGTGGAGTTTCGCTGCGTACGGTGATCGCGTGACTCTCTTCGTCGAGGCTAGGACGGATTCTAGGAGCCATCAAGGGAACGAACGACGAAGTCGTATTCGCAACGACGCCGTTTCGGAGAATCGCTGTGCGGCAGAGAGGGCAGTTAGGGTGAGATCGAAGCCACTCATCGATGCATTCAAGGTGAAAAGCGTGGAAGCATAACGGAAGGGTACGTACGTAATCTCCTTCCTCGAACTCCAACAAACAAACAGCGCAGTCTACAACGGTTGGAGTTTTCCCCACGGAAACGCCTTTTCCGGTGCAGGAGGCGGTTGAGTAGAGAAACAGAGGGAGCGTTTTGATGACGGAGTCGTCTAGTCCGTAAGGTGAGTAGGTGGAGTAGTGGAAGGAGTCGAAAGGGAAAGGGGAGAAGGATCGGAGATCGGAGGATGAGGTTGAGGCGGAGGAGAGGTGGAGGAGACGGCGTCGACGGTGTCGCCACCGTCGGAAACGGCGGAAGAGAGGGGAGAGGAAGCGGCGGGAGATGAGGCGAGAGTAGGTGACGAAGAGGAAAGCGGCGGCTAAGACGACCACCATGGCGATCAAGGGAGGGGTGAACTGTAGAGGAGGATCAGAAGAAGGAGAAAGAATCTCTTCAGCTACACCGGAATATGGTGAAAGAGACGGTGAGGGAGAAGGTGAGGTATCGCCGGAACGAGGCGGTGGCGCCGGGAGTCGCATGGTAGTTGTGTAATTTATGTGAAAACGGGAAAAAAAAAAGGCTAAGAAAGAAAGAGACTAAAACAGAGAGGTTCACAGTGAAAGGTTTAAACGTAAAATGAGCATTTGGGTGCTTTAGGGGGGAAAAAGAGAAGGAGTTGACTAAAGGTAAACGGTATTGGGAACACTAATTTGCCACGTCACTCTTTTTGTTTTTATTTTTTTATCTGATGCAGACAAATACGACTATCCAAAATATTATTCATAATTAAATCAAAATAATTGTAAATTTGTAAACAATCCCATCCTGGAGTCTTATCATTTGTATATCTGATATTATTCTGTAAATAACCGAACTGTAATTACTATAATTAAAAAAACGAGATTAGCAAAATCTAGCAATAAGGAGTTTTGAGGGAATTAAAAAAAGAGAGGAAGATAGTGGCTCCTTTTAGGGTTGTTTGATTTTAATGTGGATTTGATGTGGTGACCCACTCTGATACTAATGGCCTGAGAACTTTTTTTAAGTGGAATTTTCACGACTTTTATTTTCTATTATTGTTGTCACTGGATCCAAGTTTTTGTAGAAAATTATTCTCTCTAATTCTCTTTTCTCCATTTGTTCATACTGCCCTGATAACCCAACCAAGTTAAGTCACTTACAATATGCTTCCTTTCTCTTCTAGACGGCTAGACTCCTTCTTTTGCTGTATTATCTAAGATTATTATACCTATGATTTTTGACCAATGCACTCCACGGATGTTAATTTAGTGTAGAATAAGCTATATGTGAATTTCAGGTTTACTAATATGATAAGAGTTCTAAGACCGTAATTTTAAATGTACCAGTCTTCAAAATAGCCAACCCAAAAACAAAATTGTTATCTAATAAGTGAAGTCCATATGATCAAGTACCCACTCCACTCATGACTTGTTTGATTCTTTCAAGATCCAGAGCTACTTACTAGCATGTGACCCAAAGAAAAAACAAAGGTTTACTAATTGCTTGTAAATTTATAGTATTGTTTCTGGTGGCAATAAAGGAGCATTAAAAAACTGGTCAGAAGTACTGCCTTGCTCTATATCTATACATTTAAAACACAATGACTCCAGAATTGATTGCTCAACTACTTTCTTTTCAGTCCCGGAGATATTTCTTACATTATTGTTGTTTGCAACTCACAAATAAAGTGATGTTCGGTCTTAAGACTGGTTTGGTGATTTATCCTAGTGGTTTAGAAAATTGTAGTCATCTCTTCCCCTACCGCTATGGCTATGGCTAGTCTGACCAATAGACTTCTACCTTTAAACATCCAAAATTTATGTTACAGACTCTATACGAAAATGCAATATATCAACTGATGATCACTACTTTCTTCTTTTCTAAAGTGGTACTCATTACTTTCACGGGATATGGCATTCTAGCAAAGCAATTATACTTCATAAGTTTGCTATCGAGTAGACAGATTTGATGATGAAAAAAAAAACAAGAAAAGAGGTGTCTCTCTGGAATTAATACATCTCAAATGTTCATAAACTCTTCCTTGTTTCACACTTGTAGTACTACATCCTCTGTTTGACTTTATGAGCTCTAGGGACAGCCTTAAAACATGGACATATCTGGAGGAGCTCCATACATACTCTTCCACGAATATGGTATCCGCCATTTTCCACCTTCTTCCCCTACAGAAAATAAAATTCGTAGTGAGTTTAATTGACTCTCACGATTGATGTTATTACACTTGAAAGAAGAGAACTTTGTTTTACCATGGAACTTGTCAGGACTTAAACCCGTAAGCTTAGATGCAGCCTCTGCTAGAAGGAATGCATCAGGAATGTTGTCTCCTTCAGAACAGTAACAAAGCAGGCATGTCACCTTCAAGCCTCTTGCCTACCAAACAAACAAACAAACAGCATAAACCCCCAGCAGACCATCTAAGTGTTGGTTATAAGGCATTTATTTACCTTAAAAGCTGAGAAAAGAGCTGCAAATGGTAAGCTTGGGTAGTAGTCTATGTCTTCAAGCTCATCTTCTGAAGGGAAAGTCAGCTCTTCTTTACTATTCTTCTCAAAGACAGAGCTAAGATACTTCCAACATCTTCCTTCTGGATCATACTCACCCAATCTTCCAAAACCGAGCCTTTCACAGTGCTCATCTCTTCCATCATTTTCCAAGTTAGACAGATAATACACCTGTGGGCCTCTAAAGCCATTTCCAAAAAAAAAAGAACAAAAATTAACATGTAAACCCTTTGCTTTTAGTAATGGGAAGAAAAAGAAATAAAGGTGCAATTCAAGCTCAACTAACTTACCTTGACATATCCAAGTTGTGCAGCCTTTGGAAGTCTAAACTCGAAAGCACAATAACATCCTTCTTTCCACTTGTAGCAGCAAACTCTGCTATATTCTCCGCAAATTTAATCATCATTCCCTGTTTTTTTTTTTTTAACAAACATACAGTATATAAGTTTAGAATGTGTCATTAACTTCCCAAATTTTTTAACTTAAAAACCTCAAGGTAAACTGATTTCTGCATAGTCCCAACACAATAAGCAATGAATGAGGAAAACACACAGAAAGGTAAACAGGAAATGTAAATACCTTTGCAACAGGAGACCGTTGCTGAGCAAGAGTAGTAGCACTTGAAGATGACTCATACACTGAAAGCACACACAGATGTAAGAGAAAAAACTTAAGCTTTTGACAAGAATGAAGTGCTGATTCAACGATATACCATAAAGCAGAAAACAAGTTGCTTTATATAGCTTCCCCAATCACCAACATGAATAAATCAGTTACAAGAACCATAGGGAAGCAAAAGAAACTGTAAAAGAAGCAGTGAGAGATTACCCTCGAGAGGAAGAGCAAGATCACCAAGAGGGCTATAAGCGTCATTGCCAACACAAGGAAGGAGATTAGGATCATCGAGATAACCAACTCTCTCTGCAGCAGTAGATGACACTAGAAGATCAACAGCTAGCTGCCCTACGTTCCCAATTGACAATGCAGGCTGTGCTTGGAAAAAAAAGACAAAACCAATAATTACTTCAATTACAAAATCTCTAATCTTTTCTTGTGATACAATCTAATTCCTCAAGAAAGCTGCATTTTTTACGATTTATAGATTGAAGGAGAGACACAGATCGAAATCGAAAAGCTTACGAGAATCAAAGTGGAGCATTCTTCATGGACTCGCTTTCCTTGTTCAACAATGAACTCCATGAAATCGAAACGAAGCTAAAGGCTGCTGATTACAGAACCGATTGTAAGTTTCTCGCTTAAGACCAAAGTTTACACAGAATCTGTCTTGACTGCTTTCGGTAAGTTAAGTAATACAGTTCTTCTTTCGGCGAGCTTGAAGAGCAAGCCAGGGACTGATTATGGGCCGATATATTATGTTAAATTAAAAAATAAAGTATTATGGGCTAAGAGTTGTTCTTAGGGCCCAAATGTGTCGTAAACTTGGCTATATTTGATTTCAGATTTGTAAACTCGGATTTTCAACTTTTACACTTTAACCTTATTTTGTGACAAACTATTATTTATTTGACTTCAATCGATTCATGTAGCTACATCAGTTTAATTTCATATGTAACTTTTGCATTTTGTTAGTATTTTTACTGAAGTTTCCGTTTTTGTTAAGTCAAATGCTATTGTTATATATGAATTTGATCGATTAACGTAGCTAGGTTTGTCTGCTCACGCTATATACTGTGAAATCCGTTGAAAAAAAACCACAGCTAAAATGATATGAGTAAAAAGGGAGATCAAAGACCAAAAAATGTGTAATCATGAATGATTGATTAACAAAAAAATTATAAAATCATAGAAAATCTTTTTATTTGTATGAAGTGATTTAGTAGTCGGGTTTTATTCAAAGCAAGCCATATCATGTATCATATGATGACAGAATATAACAATTCAAATGAATCAATTAATCATCAAAAAATGACATGCAAAGACTTTATGATGTTGGTTGTCTATTAAGTATGGGGTCACTCTGTTCCCTTATCGCTCTTCTCTGATCGGCATGAAAATCATGATGGTTTTGATTTTGGAAATTAAATTATCCACCTAGTTAGTTAATTACAATAATTGACCTCAACAAGTAATAACAAACAAAAAGATTGAAACATGTTTATTTCCTAAAGAAAATCATGCTTGTATGAGAATTAGGGAAATGTCCAAAATGGAGACTCTAATTAGGGAATTGCCCATGATGGGACATAATAAAAAGATTTCATACAATTGTGTTTTGGATGGACGATAAAGTCATTCTTCCATTCTCAACTCCTCTGCAATTCATTAACTAATCGGACACTCTCTTTATTCTCATCTCTTACACTCTCTTTCCATTTCTTATTATATTTTTTTTCTTCCATATTTTTTCATTCAATTTTTTTTATTCATTAAAAACTAATTGAAACACAAAACAAAATTCTTACACTCTCTTTCCATTTCTTATTATATTTTTTTTCTTCCATATTTTTTCATTCAATTTTTTTTATTCATTAAAAACTAATTGAAACACAAAACAAAATAATTTTTATTCATTAAAAATTAATTGACACACGAAACAAGGTATTGATTTGTTTAATTACACCACGGATTGAGAAAATCATCATTGCAATATTTGTTAACAGAAGTGTTAGATGTTAACGGATATATGTACCCGAATTGTTAGCTGTTAATAAATATTGTAGATGTTAACAAAGATATTAGATGTTAACAAATAGATGTACCAAAGATGGTAACGTAGATGTTAGCTGTTAATAAATAATGTAGATGTTAACAGAGATTTTAGCTGTTAACAAAACATGTTCCCGATGTTAACAGATGTGTTAGTTGTTAATAAGTATATGTATCAGAGGTGTTAATAGACTTATAGATTTTCAACTTTCTTTTTTAAAAATCAAAGTAGATTAAAATATAAAAAAATAACAAATTTTCTTTCAACATTCATTTAAATTACAAGGAGAAAAAAAGAAAAAGAGAAGAGAACAAACATAAATGAAGAAAGAATGAGAGAGAGAGTGAGTTTCTAACGAAAATGAGAAAAAAACTGACACACCCACATGCAAGAAGGAGAAAGAAAAGGGCAGTTTTGTCATAAAAAAAGAATAAGTCTCATCAGGGGCATTTGCCTAATATAAGCTCCCAAAAAGGTGTGGGAGCAAATTATCTCTATAAAATTAAGTAATTACTGTGGATGTATACGAAGAAAAAAAAAAGTTGAAAGACACCCGTCAAGGAGTGGTGGACCAAACAGTCCACATGGTATATTATGATGAAATCAAATCTTATCTATTAATATAAAATTATTGTTACTTTTGTTCATCAGCTGTCTCTTACGATCTTCGTCCTGTATATATCCATTAATTAATCTAATTTACAACTCCAACTAACATCTCAACAACCAACATTTATTTAGTAAAGTTTTTATTTGTAAATCACACATGTCCTTCAATAGTCTTTCATGTGTGATGTGTCCATCAAAATCTAGATTATAATTTCGTCCAGTTTTCAGAAAAAGATATGGTCATGTTTTCGCTTCGTTAAACAATGCCAAATGTGTTGCATGATTTTAAGTTTTTTTTCTTCTCGAAACGCTTAGATAACTCATCTAACAAGTTATACTAGTAGTTATATAACACGTGGGCATGGATCACTTGTAACTTACATGTATAGCTCATATTGTAATACGTGTAAGTAGGACTGGGCATTTTATCCGTTAAATTTGATTCGATTCGTTATTTGTTTCGATTCGATCCGAAAATTCTGGATATCCATAAACTTTCGAATCAAAGCAAATAGTAAAAATCAATAAATATTAAAATTTTGGGAAGCGGATATCCGATCCGATTCGAAAATATATAAATATATGTATATCTTAATAATATTTAAAATTTTAAATGTATAAAATTATATAATTATTATTCTAGCACATGATTTTGAACAATTCTATTTACATTATTACTTATATAAAGGTATTACATAAAAAGAGAGAAAAAATTTATAATAGTTATATAAAATTTAATTTTTATGTAATTATAATTGTAACTTAAACTTAAAAATAAAAAAATGTAAATTTACTAATTCTTTTAATTTTTATTTTATATATCATGCAAAAAATATTTTTGCAAAGCAAATTTGTATCAAAATTTTAAGGTTATTTGTATTAATCAAAATGGACGAGATATTCGTAAATATTCGTAAATATCTGCAAATATCTATTTATTTCTCGGATATCCGTTTTTCCGGATATTCGTATTTTTCGAAGTAAAGCAAATACCAAAATTAGATATCCGTAACATTCGAAGCAAATCATAAATACCTTGAAAAATCCGGATATCCGATCTGTGCCCACCCTTACGTGTAAGTACTTCACTTTTGGTTTTTGTTTAGATTCTTGGAATCTGTCTGATGAAAATATCAAGCAAAATGACGTGCAAAGTTTAAACTACTCCTAATGGAGAAAAAATGTCATTATATCTGATTAAAACGGTGGTTTAGTTCTGATTAGTGAAAGTGACAATTGCATTCTGAATCATACACGCTCGATCTAACAATAGTGGTTTAACGGAAAATAGAAGGATCATGGTATAATATGTAATTATATACCAAACATATGATTCCTTGGTTACAAAAATATTTAAGGGAAAATTTCATAACTACCACTTTCACACTACCACTTTTCAAATATACCACAATTTAATTGCAGTTTTCAAATATACCATTTTCATTTAATGGCAAATTACAAAACTAACCCTAACCCTAATTACTCTCTTTTCTATGATTCTCGTGTAAGGTGAAAGAGGAGAAGCGGAGATGGAGGAGGCGCGGCGGAAGAGGTCTGATCGGAGAGTTCGTCGACGGTGGCGATGAGGGATTAGGGGGAGGAGGAGAAATCACCGGTGGAAGCAAATGAGCATTCTACGGTGGAAGTGAACAGCTCAGGGACGAAGAAATTGGTCTTCTTTGGGAACGCAAACAAGGTTTTTGAGTTGGAGGATCTGTTGAAAGCTTCTGTGGAGGTTCTTGGGAAAGGGACGTTCGGGACGGCGTATAAGGCGGTGCTTGACGCGGTGACGTTGGTGGCTGTGAAGAGGCTGAAGGATGTGACGATGGGGGATAGAGAGTTCAAGGAGAAGATTGAGGTTGTTGGGGGCGATGGATCATGATAACTTGGTGCCGTTGAGAGCTTATTATTACAGTGGAGATGAGAAACTGCTTGTGTATGACTTCATGCCTATGGGAAGCTTGTCTGCTCTCTTACACGGTTAGAGACTTGTCTAAATCTCTTTCTCTGCTAAAGAAAATGTGATTATATGGTTCTGGTTTAAAGTTTCTTAAATGGCAAATAAATGTTGATTGTTGTGTAAGGTCAAAGTTTTAGCTTGTGTTATATGGTGCATTCATTGGCTTCTCGTTTGATTTCGAAAGTTGTTAACTTTCTTACCAAGTTCCTTTGCAGTGTGAATAGTGTCCTTAACGTTGTGGTAGTTGTAGGGCTTTAGTTTCTTCAGAGAGACAGACTTGTGATGTTGGTCTTAAGCTAGATGAATTTTGTGAAGCTCAGTTAGTTTAGAGCTGCAATATTATAGATGATTACACGGAATCTAGCAGTATCAAGAAAGGGCAAGTTTGGAACTGTGAGTGACCCTGTTGAAATAGGTTTATCTAGCTGCTGGAGTTCTGACTAGTCTGATAGATAGTGTCTCTGATTTGTGATTTAGCCTACAGTATAATACTGCTGCAACAGTTTACTGATTCAAAAATATTCATGCTTGGCATCACCTTGTACAAGTTTTTACTGCCTAATAAACACAAGAAAATCTCCATCGCCAAAAGACACATTTACTGTTATCTGAGTTTTCATTTCTACAGTCTGTAACTTTTTTTTTTCCTTTCTTTGTAGGTTTTTTTTGTAGTCTCCGTCCTCTCTTCTGAATTCTGATGGGCCAAGGGATTGCATGTGATGTTTCTCTAAAAGATTCTCCCTGGTTTCCTTTTATCTAATAAGGTTTGTAGTAGCTTTGTGTATACTACAAAAGCACTTTATTTTCCTTCACAAGAACCAGATTTTGTTGTTCAGACATATTCCTTATGTTTACGCATATCTATATGATTGTTAATACTTAATAGTTTCTCTGCTTAATCTTTTAAATTTGGTTTATTTGTGACACATTTAGTAATCAGAGGCTGTAGAACATTATATTGCGGTTTGAAAATAGTAAAGCTTTGCCCTTTCGGCATGTTGTTGCTTGCTTTTATGTTACACCACTCTTTCATGTATTATCTTTTTACTTAAGGGTTGTTTGTGTTATGTATATCTGTTAATTTTTGTAGGTTCAGTTAAGACCTTGAATATGGTGGATAGGCTATCAACTGACAAGAGTGTTATCCAACATCAGGTGAAATTTGATTTTAATAATAGCATTGCTGTGATGTAAGCTAGTTTCAGTATGACACTTTGTGTCTAGATTTTGCAGGACACATCAAGTAGCAGTTTTCTTGGCCCTTTGTGTGGTAATACTGCTTTTTCTGCAAGTTCTAACATCGGAGGTTAGATCTCTTTTATCAGTTTCTCTAACATTTAACTCTAGTTTAATGGTAATCTTCTAATTCTTGTGAGTGAAACTACATGTATTATTGTTTTATCACCACCACCAGAGAATGTCTTGTTCCTTTCTTACACTGAAGTATACAACCTACTTATGCGAGCTACTCCAAATTTCTTGTATCTCTGTTTTGTTTCTACAACGATTGAATGAAACACTGGCCACATGCCATTTTACTTATTTCTGCTTCGCCATGTTTGTCTTGTGATCAAAATTGTGGACTTTTAGTGCTTCTTAGCTGTTATTGAAGTACGATTTTCTTGTTTCTCTAAGGCTATGAACATGCAGCTGAATCTCCAACTCCAAGGTCGTACCATTCACATACGGATATTCTAAGCTCCGAAAAGGTTTCTCATGTGCGTATATATTATCTCACGTATCTCTTAATACTCCACTTGCTTTTGATTTCTTATGTTCGTGATGTGTTTGTTTTTTTTGTCTCCTTCAACTGATATGGTTAGCTTCTGTAATCACTACCTCTACCACACATATATTGGATTTTCAACAGCTCTAGTAGTAGTTCAGCTTCTTGTTGATACTTACGCAGGTTTCACCAAGTCGAATTTTGCATGATGATTTTGATACTCCTGCAAGCGTAAGTTACAGAGAGCAAGCTTACAACCAATGCAGAAGAGGCTCTTTCTCTTCTTCTCCTAGCACAACTTGGGACTTGTCACCATTTGATGAAGCAAGAAATGCAAGCTGCAGCGAATTCTGCCATCGCCCTGCCATGTCTGATTTGCTTAACGAGAGAAACAGAGGGCCTAGGGCTTCTAGGCTCAACGGTAAAAGTAAAATGACCACTTATGATCACACTGATCAACAAGTTCTGCTCTCTCAGTTCAGGGACGCAAAGTTCTTCGTTATTAAGTCATATAGCGAGGATAATGTCTACAAGAGCATAAAGTATTGTGTCTGGGCAAGCACTAAAAACGGAAACAAAAAGTTGGATGCCGCCTATCGTGAAGCAAAGACTAAAGAAGTGGCATGCTCAGTCTTTCTGTTGTTCTCGGTAAATTTTGTACAGCAATCCCTCTCAGGCTTTATCTATGTATTTCTAGCTCAACCCGTTGAGTTTTGATCTTTAAGTATATCATTTGAATGTTGTGCTTTCTGAATGCTTTCCTCAGGAACATTGCAAACAATCAGTTCATAGGCTGGATCATTGCTTGACATTGTTAATTTATAAGAGTTTATAAAAACATTTATAAATTTCATAAGAGCTTATAAAACCTTTTATCAACCATCTATAAAGTTTATAAAACGCATATAAATATTTATATAACTACTTATATAACTATGTATAAAGGTTTATAAAACTATTTAAAAAGGGGTTTTTAAACTATTTACAAAAACTTATAAGCTATTTAAATGTTTATAAATCTATTTATAAGGGTTTATAAATCTAGCTATTTAAATGTTTATAAATCTATTTATAAGGGTTTATAAATCTATTTATAAGGGTTTATAAATCTATTTATAAAGGTCTATAGATCTATTTATAAGGGTTTATTCAAAAGATTATAAAAATTTAATAATCTTCATAACACGACTTATAAGAGTTTATAAATCAATTTAGAAGTGTTTATAAAACAGTTAGAAGAGTTTATATCATTTATAAATTTTTATAAAAATTATAAGTAAATCTTTATGAAAGTATTTATTATGTTATAATTCTCCTATAAATGTTTGTAAATTATTTACAAAATCATTTTCTAACCAAAAACACCATTATTGTATGTGTAATTATAGAATTCATAAATCATTTTGTAATGATTTATATCATCTTATAAGGGTTTGTAAGAGATTTTTTTCGTTTGTGTCGATGGGTTTAGGACATATTTATAAAACTTGGTCAAATATATATGAAATATAAATTTATTTATAAGAGTTTATAAATATATTTATAAGGGTTTATCAAAAGATTATAAAAAATTAATAATCTTCATAACACAATTTATAAGAGTTTATAAATCAATATAGAAGTGTTTATAAATCAGTTAGAAGAATTTATAGATCATTTAAAAATTCTTACAAAAATTATAAGTAAATCTTTATGAAAGTAATTATAATGTTTATAATTCTCCTATAAATGTTTGTAAATTATAAACTGATGTATAAAAGTTATAAGTTGTTTTTGGGTGAGTTTTTGTCAACAAAATGACAATTGTTAATGAAGTGATTTATAAAGGTTTATAAATTGATATATAATGGCTTTTAATTTGATTTTTCTAAAGCATCGTTCAAACAGATAACAAACACAAATAGGCTTTGCAAACATATTCTTTTGCATCATCCCATGTGAGAAAATTCTGTGAAAATCTCAATGCATGTTTCCATGCATTTTAACCCAATTCTATGTACAACCATAAGATGGATTAACTATAACTACATTGTCACTATTTTGTTCTAAAAGGCTAACACATAAGCACTTTTTAGTTTCACTACAAGGTCCATTGCCTTACATTTCTCTCTGAAACCACAAAATATAAGAGTTTACAACAAAATTATAAGGGTTTACAAGAGTTTTATCATTAATAGGTAGTGATAAGTGTTTTATAAAGGTTTACAAAATAACTAATAAGGGTTTATAAATTATTTATAATGGTTTCTAAATCATTTATAATGGTTTATAGGTCATTTATAAATATTTATAAAATCATTTATAAATTATTATTAGTTTTTTATAAGGATTTATAAATTATAAACATTATTTAAAAGTCTTTGTAAGTGTACATTAAGATTCATAAAGGTTCTATCAGGATTTTTTAAATTTTTATAAGGGTTATGAAGCCATTTGTAAGAATTAATCTATGAAAGTTTATAAATCAAATAATAAGGATTTAATAATGAAGAAAAAATGAATTTATAAAGTTTATAAGGGCTTATAAAAACAATTTATAAAGTTTATACACATTATAAAGGATTATAAAACAATTTATAAGGGTATGTAAAATTATTTATAATGGTTTATAAAACCATTTACAAGAGTTTTATCATTAATAGGTAGTAATATATGAAATATAAATCTATTTATAAGAGTTTATAAATATATTTATAAGAGTTTATCAAAAGATTATAAAAATTTAATAATCTTCATAACACAATTTATAAGAGTTTATAAATCAATTTAGAAGTGTTTATAAATCATTTATAAATTCGTAGAAAAATTATTAGTAAATCTTTATGAAAGTATTTATTATGTTATAATCACTTGCAAAATCAACAATCTTTAACATGGCGCTGAATATTGCTGAATATTCCCTTCCTGTTATGAACCATTTTTAAATTTTATAAGAGTTTATAAAACCTTTTATCAACCATTTATAAAATTTATAAAACATTTATAAATATTTATAAAGGTTTATAAAACATTTGAAAAATTAGTTATAGAAATTTATAAATTTTTATAAAATATCTATAACAGTTTATAAATATTTATAATCATTTTAAAGAGTTTATTAATCAGCTATAAGGATTTATAACTCATTTATAAATGGTTATAAATTATATATAAGAACCTATAAAGGGTTAAAATCATTTATAGATATTTATAAATATTTTATAAAAGTTTATAATTTGCAATGGTTTTTTTAAATATTTATACGGGTTTATAAATCATTGATAGTGTTCATAAACCTAAGCTCCACCATGTGATCCGCAAGCCACCTAGAATCACAGAATTAATGTATTTGAGTGGTATGACGTTAGATTTATACACCCTGCAAGCTGAAATGAGCCTCACTGATAAGGTGACATGCCAGACGCAAAATTAAAGGTTACACTAAAGCTTTAATCATTCAAAGATTTAGCACAAAGAAAAAAAATCATTCAAAGATTCTTTCATCAAACACGTTTCAGCTCTTTTGTTTGAGATATTCCAGCATTTCATCATATTATTTTACAAAACTATTCACTGTTTTTCTGATACAGTCCACTTTTTGATACTTTCTTTATGTTGAGAGGATGTTGAAGAACTTTGTTCTGTTTATGTTCTAAAATACTTTTCTAGCTTGACTAATTTTGACACTTGGTATGGAAGCATAATGATTTTATTTTTGTCTGGCCTGACTATTCTGACTCAGAGATTATATTCCCACAATGGTGCCTTGTGTTCCTGTACCTTAACATCGCATTTTGCAGAAACTCCTCAAAGACAAGCTGAGTTTAGAGCACATAAGCATGGAGCTTCTCTTATTCACACTGTGGTGCCTTCTCTTCCAGTAACTGAACACATCCCTTTGCAGAAACCTGCAACTTCACAATCACAAGCTGAGATAAGAGTGGAGACGCGCAAAGCTTCTCTTGTTCACACAGTGATGCCTTCTCTGCCGGTAACTGAACCACCTACCACTTTGCAAAAAGCCTGCAACTTTGCAATCACAAGCTGATAGAGAAGATGTCAAATGATAGAGATGGAAAGCGTGGCCAGATACATGCTCTTCAGGAACACCAACCATCTCAACGCACAAGCTTTGACACACAGTTAATCTTATTACTCAACAAGTTAACATACATACAGACATTCTAATATCTAAATTAGGTTACTTGCAATCCTGTTCAAGAAAGTGTAAGCTTTTGAACCCTATGAATTGGAAGTTGATGCAACCCTACCCATCAAAATGGTTAAAGCCTCTAAATTTGAACTAGATCAGAAATGGTAATATCTAAATGGACTGCCTGAGGAGTGTTCCAGTATCGCCACATCAACTTCCAGTTGTTATCAGAGACAAAGGTGGGCTTTTTGTTGTGTGTCTTTCCCTTGCTAATGTTGTTTGAGATCATTCTCCTGAGTTTCTTTGTCCAAAGAGTCTTCACCAAATTATGGTGCTCTGAATCCCAGTAATACTTTTGCTGGAAAAAAAAAAAGAAAAGCAGAACTTGACATCAATAGAGATCTAATCTAAACAATAGGTAGTTAAGGGAAACAACCAATATGAATCTTACCACAAAGTCTGACCACCACTTGTCTTGCTGGTCTTGAGGAACCTCACTGAGATTCCACCAAGCTCCATCAAAATCGTTGGAAAAGGCTCTCTTTATATCATACTTGACCTCATTGTCAATTGATATCCTATCACAAAGAAACAGAACAATTAGTAACTGAAACTATTAATACAAATTTATAAATTGCTGTCAGAAGTAAATCTTACCAAAGAGCACCATCTTTCTTCTCAGGGTGGAGAGTTGGCTGGTTTCTTCGTGCAGGTGCTTGTAATAGCTCATCAAGGCTTCGCAGTGGAAATCCCGGTGGAGCACATGGGTTTGTGTTCTTCACGGAACTGGGTCCACCTCGTTCGGCAGTAGCTCTTGCGGGGAAACCTCCTCTTATTGGTGGATGCATACTACAAGGATTTGAAAGACATTAGCACAATCTCTGAGATAGAACTATCATTCAAACTTTGTCCATAATAATAATAAAAAAAAGAGCTTTCAATGGATGAATCCCTTAGTGTATTAGACTGAAAGAACATATGAAAATGCAGAGACTGAACCACCATATCGATTTCATATAAACCCTAAACTGACTGAAAACACAGAATGAAAGAAGAAGTGAACCCAAATCGATTTTAAAATTTGAACCCTAAATAGACTGAAGATGCAGAGACTGGTATAAGAAATTAACCCCAAATCTATTTGAAAATATAAACACCAAAAACTGATTGAAAAAATAAACACCAATGTGTAAGATTTTAGAAGAAGAACCTTGATATACTGAGAGTGGCTTTGTTATTTTTCGACTACTGTTTCGACGGGGTTGTAGAATTTGGTTATGGAGGTGGTTCGGTTCAGGGAAGGATTCATGGTGTGTGATTTGGGGGGTTGAATCCGTTGGTCTGTGTTCGTGGTGGATTGTGAGCGATCTGTTGAAGAAGGAGGACGGTGATTTCGTCTTTTCTACGTGTTTATTTAAATCTGCCATTGAAGCTAACACAAAAGATCACGAAACGGCGGCGGATGTTGTTGCCAGACCTAGGACTAAGTCAACGGAATTCAAAAACCCTAGGATCAATAATTATTCAAATGGATCTCTAAAGATAAAATTGAGAAAGGGAATAAGAGAAGGATCACCTCACCAATGAGACAGAGAGAGATGATGCGAGAGAGCGGTCTTTGATTGATTTACTTCTCCTCTCTTCTTCTGTATTCATATGCAGAAATAACGCCGGATTTTGTCGTCGGAGATCAGTGAATCGTTAGAGTTCTTCGGATTTTGTCGTCGGAGATCGGCTAACCGTGGAGTTCTTGACGTGACACGAGAAGAAAAGAGATAGAAGAAGAATTGATTTATTTTTATTAAATAAGGGTATTATAGTCTTTTGCTTATCAAAATTTGAAGTGTAAAGTTGGTTAATGTAAAAATGAAATATGGTATCATCAAAGTGCTAGTTTTAGCAATTTCCCAATATTTAACCATGATTTGGTCATACCACTTTGAACATTTAATACTCGATTTAATCAAATACTTCTTCTGTTTCAAATAGATCTATGCTCTAGAAAAAAAAAAAATTTCAAAAAGTTACATTTTTACATTTTCAATACATTTATTAATGGTAATTTGTAAACTTTAAAAAACTTAATTGTATTTTTTAAAATTCTATTGGTTAAAGATTATTAGAAATAGTTAATTACAAAAAAGAATGTATTTTTAATTTAAACTTAATAAATTTTATTGAAAGGGAGTAGATTTTTTTTTTTTTTTTTTTTGAAACACTTTGAAAGGGAGTAGATAAAAACTTGGTTTCGTACTGATATCATAGCAATAACGTCGTGCAGCTGGATCGCGTGAATGTGAAAGGCTTTGTGTTTTGATGGGCAACATACTGCCAAATTAACAAATTAATTCGAGGCCATGACCATTGACAATTACCATTTTTCAGATACTAATTAATTAATGGAAAATGTAAACGATGATACTATTTTTATGAAACTCTAAAATGTCAAACTGTGCTAGCTGCCAAAGTCTAGCGGTTGACAATAGAGGATCGGATCACTTCTTGTAACTAGGTTAACTTTATTTGGAATGTCACGGCTTCCGTTTATAACATGGATTATCGAGATTCAAGATAGATTGGGTTCCAAATATAAAAAAAAAAAATTAAATGATTAGAATAGGAATCTATAGTTTTGGTTCGTGTATATTAAATGAAGACTTATTTTCATTACTTAACGGTATACAAAATGATGAAAATGTTTTATGTTTACCTAATAAAACCCAATTTTATAAAGTTTATTAGGCCTTATTTATTTCATATTAAACATACGTTATAAAAAAAAATCGGTCTACACTTCATCTAGAAAGTAGCCATTTTTTTTTGTTAAATCTAGTTTATATGATTTTAATCAGTTTAAAGCATTCTAAATTAGTTTAACTCGACCTAAAATATTTAAGTAAAAAAATATTGTGAGTGCAAAAACGAAATTTGTTTTCTAATTTTCGTTTGTATATTTTTTATAATTCATTAAAATAATTTTATAACCAAAACCTCAAAACTAAAATATCTAATATAAATATAAAATATATAGAGTTAATTAATAATTTGTTAATGATTATGTAAGACCCGATCCGGCCGACTAGGCCGCGGTCGATGCCTCATGTCGCTCGGTCCATACCCTGACCGAACTTCTAAAAATTTTGCCTTTTATTTAAAACATCGTCCGTAGGCGAGAGCTAACTCAGATCCTAGCTCAAGACTACCTTAGTCATTCCCTAGCTTAGATCCTTTCAACTTATGCACAGCGGAATAATATCAAATTAACCATTGATCTAAAACCAATCTAACACTTTTCTGGTCACATCACCTCAGCTACTAGTCAGTATACTCAACTACCAGATAGCTCCAAGGTCGATGCTGAACCCAAACCAAGTCATACAAAATCCGAGGTTCCATTCACCTAACCATTCTATCTAGAACTAAGCAACATTGCTAGATCATACCTTTGCCACATCCACGGAGCTTGTTAGNAGCTGATCGAGCTGCGAGGTAGCTTCGCCCAGCTTCCCGTCTACTCGTCCAGCTCTCTTATATCTGTACAAACTCTCCCCAAAGTACTTAGTCATTCAACCAACCATCCCCACAGACCAAGTAACCTTTGAGAAGTCTTCAAACGGTTAATGATATGCATCTGGCCTTTCTCGGCTCATGCATCATCCTTTGCCTCAACAGGTTATCAAATCAAGTCCATCTACTAGACTGACAATGCCCATCAGATCCTAAGTCACTCATCCAACCACCCCACATGACTCAGAGCTGATGAGTCTTCACTCTTCCATGTCGGTCATGGAACAACATTTCAACAAGTCCGATCAGCTTTGTCTTCTAAACCAATGCATCTCTTATCATGTTAGAACCAACACCTTGATCCATCATCTATGAATCAAATCGTCTATTCTCAACCATGATCAGATCATACACGGTCATCTTCGTATATAGACATGACCCCAATCTTATTATTGTTTGACCCTCAAACCATTGCCTATGGTTAATGAACTCAACACTATTCAAGATAGACCATCACCCCTTATATCAAGCATTGACTCAACTAACAACCAATTGCCACTATGTGGGTCCAAGCCCTACACAATGCAAGTGGTGTCTTTTTATCGATTGCACCTCTTCGGATCCGAACAATTCGTACCCTTTCAGACCCGAACCATTCGCATCCTTTTGGACCCGATCCCTTCGCATCCTTTCGGACCCGAACCATTCGCACCTTTTCGGACCCGAACTATTCGCACCCTTTCGGACCCGAACCATTCGCACCCTTTCGGACCCGANACACAATGCAAGTGGTGTCTTTTTATCGATTGCACCTCTTCGGATCCGAACAATTCGTACCCTTTCAGACCCGAACCATTCGCATCCTTTTGGACCCGATCCCTTCGCATCCTTTCGGACCCGAACCATTCGCACCTTTTCGGACCCGAACTATTCGCACCCTTTCGGACCCGAACCATTCGCACCCTTTCGGACCCGATCCATTCGCATCCTTTCGGACCCGAACCATTCGCACCTTTTCGGACCCGAACCATTCGCACCCTTTCGGACCCGAACCATTCGCACCCTTTCGAACCCGAACCATTTGCACCCTTTTGGACCCGAACCATTCGCACCCTTTCGGACCCGAACCATTCGCACCCTTTCGGTCACGACCTGTTCGCATCCCTTGGATCACGTCATGTTCGCATCCCTTGGATCCCGATACGTTCACACCCCTTGGGTTGTGATACGTTCACATCCCTTGGATCACGACACGTACGTACCTCTTGGATCACGATACGTTCGTACCTCTTAGGTCACGATACGTTCGTACCTCTTAGGTCACAATACGCTCGTACCTCTTAGGTCACAATACGTTCGTACCTCTTAGATCACGATACGTTCGTACCTCTTAGGTCACGATACGTTCGTACCTCTTAGGTCACGATACGTTCGTACCTCTTAGGTCACGATACGTTCGTACCTCTTAGGTCACGATACGTTCGTACCTCTTAGGTCACGATACGCTCGTACCTCTTAGGTCACGATACGTTCGTACCTCTTAGGTCACGATACGCTCGCATCTATTTGGTGACATGCACCCTTTGATTGATGGTAACCTTTGGTCAATGGTACCTCTTGGTCCTCGTACCATTAGCTACTCGCAACCCTTGGTATCTCGTACCTTTTGGTTACTCGCATCTTTTGGTAACTCACAACCTTTGGTAACTCATGACTCTTGGCAACTCGTACCCTTTGGATGACACTCCTTGATGGCAACTCTTGGTGACATCCCTTGATGGCACCATTTGGTGGCATCCCTTGATGGCACCCTTTGGTGACATCCCTAGATGATACCCTTTGGTGACATCCCTAGATGGTACTCTTTGGTGGCATCCCTAGATGGCACCCTTTGGTGGCATCCCTAGATGGCACCCTTTGCTGGCATCCCTAGATGGCACCCTTTGGTGGCATCCCTATGGATCCTCGTTTATCATTGGGGGATCTCTTTAGGACGTGTGTCCATTGTCTAAGACTGAATTAATTGATCTCTGGTCGGCCCTCCTATATATAGGAAACCAAAGGCCATGTCCAAAAGGACACATCTCTTCCAAGCATCTTTTCGGACCAGAACTTGGCCATCGATTACAATCAACGGTCCAGATCGCATCTGTTGGATCTTGGAAGTTTCCAGACACATCTAGGCACGTCCATCCACTTCTAGACACATCAGACCCAAGC